TAACCGTAGACTCAACCGTTTAGTTTTGTTGCCAACTACTATCGTGACTGCATATTGATAAACGACAAATAGATCGCGCTCGGTCCCTTCTGATATAGCCTAAGTAGTGGTTGTGCTTAGAACATTACATTCAGCAGACCAAATCTGGGTTTTTTGGAAAACGACAGAAGGCACCAGAAAAGCATTTCTTGTGTACGGAACCCTGGGCTGCTGTGTCAGACAGCAGCGGCCACTGGCGAAGCCAAGGCTAGTGTTGACTGCGTCCAGTCGTAGTGAGAAAGTAAGACAGCCGTGGCAGCTGCTTTTGCAGGATTGTGGAGCAAGTTCAAGTGGTGTGCTGCCTTACCCGCGTGGCCCATACTGCGTCGGTTGAGGTGGTGGCGTGTTCGAGTCACCCTTAGGCAGTCGCAATTATTTGGATGCGTGCGGGGATGTCGGTCAAGGGTCTTCAGGTCAGCGACTAAAAAACAGCTGCGGCTGCGATGTTGAGTGACGTTGAGGCAGTGGGCATTGAGCGAGGAAGCCGGGCTGCATTTTTGGCTGTCCGCAACAACCTTTATGAGTATTGATATTAGTAAGGATGATGTTCGCAAGTAACTTATCAGACGTGCATTTGCTGTCTTATATTTCAGGTAGCGAAGTCGGCTGACTAATTGCCTTCTGCAGAGTTTGCCTCAGCGCGACATGCCCTATGTCGGCACGAAACCTACACATGTACCTTGTCCTACCTTTCGTCGGCGTAAGATGCCGATTTTCTACTGCGTTCTATACTATTTTCAATCGACTTGAATTAGTACGGCCCCTATTGCACTTTGGTAATTTTAGGAGCAATGCTCAACGCTTTGCGAAGTCAGTATTCTCTAGGAATGCACTGGCTGTTGTTTTGCGTGCGCCTGTCCTCGGAACTTTGCCTACTGTCAGCTTGAAACACTCATCCCCGCTATCATCGTTTTTCTTGTTTTTAGAAACGCTGGAAAATGATCTTGTCTGCCGAATACCCCACTCTCGTCTTTCATGCAAATCTAAACAAACCGCTGGGAAAGGTGGCCCTTATGGGTCTGTTGCGCCAGTTGGCATCTCTGCACGCCAAGGACCGGCAGCAGATTAGCGTTGGTATCATCGGCTATCCCAATGTAGGGAAGTCTAGCATCATCAATGCTATGCGGTAGGTCTGCGCTTCGCGATCAATCATGTAACTTGTTTTTCCGAATGGGTATCACCAAGCTTGCTTTAAAACTGTCAATAATCTTCCCCTAATAAAAATAGAGGTTTTGGCCAAGGTAACACCGACTTTGAGCACCGCGCTGAAGTTTCGAAGTTGTACTTTGCAGAATCGTCAGGAATTTAGTTACAAAATACCTTACTCCTTTGGATTCTTGGGCTTCAAGTCACAACAGATGGCGTTTTCCGGGAGAGATACATCTGTCGTTTGACGTGATGCCGTAAATGAATCTGTCATCGGGAATTTCTTTCTTTTTGTCGTTATATCATGTGAATTGTTAAGCCCAGTTTCGTGTATTTTAGAAAACCTCCATTAAGCACGCATTATCCTAATTTCTGTCATCTTCAGGGTTAGCGTCTTTCGAGAAACCTCACGATCTTTAGTTCACAATCGGACTTATATTACACATACTTGCCTATTGATTTTATGTCAGTAGAACGTTGTAATTACTCTTGATTTTTGCTAGGTCTAAGAAAGTCTGCAACGTCGCACCTGTTTCGGGCGAGACGAAGGTTTGGCAGTACGTAACCCTGCTCAAATCCATCTATCTGATCGATTGCCCTGGCGTCGTCTATCCGGATGGTGCCACCGAATGTGACCTGGTCATGAAGGGAGTGGTAAGTTCACCTATTCTGTAGTGGATTTGCCTATAGAGCTCACGAACGTTTTTCTCGTCGGTTTCTCAGAAAAACGAAAACTAGCATAAAAATCTCTCAGAGATGCAGTCGCGCACCATCAGAAACTCGCATATTTTCACACATAACCCCGAGGCACACAGACGTTTTGTCGGGTTGGTTAGAATCCTGTATGGGTGCATCTGGTATGAAGGCAAATGATGTTAGCCGACATGCGAGCTTGATGTAGCGTTATGCACACAATGAAGTAAAGGAACAAACTAAAATCACGCTAGGTCCTTAGTGGTAACTAACTCGTAAGTTCCTCTTTCAAATAATGTTACGCTAGTTGTGTGTTATTTGTGGGCACTATAACGTCTACTTTTTGGACAAATACTGTCTTTTAGTGCGGACAAAGTATACAAAGTCCCCGAGGTCTTGTTTTCCCACTGATATTGTTGCTGGACCTGCCTGGATTAATTTCATAGTTTTCAAAGAGTTTTCACTTAATCTTTCTTTTCCATAATGGCGTAGCCAGAAAAGTGTCGCAATCGTTTCTCAGTGAACGTGTTCGAAAAAATCTAGCGTTTTGCCTAAAGAACTCACAGAGATGGAGAGTTCTGTTCTGATTTTGAAATTCCCTGCTGATTGAGAAGAAGACGACTCGATCGCTCGGACAACACTTTTACTCGCCTGACGTTTCGAGATCCGTCATCAGAGACATAATCAGAGAGGAGTGGCAGATACGGGTCGATCTTGTTGACCTTGAATTCGCGCATTAAGTTTTAGTAGGGGAGGGGTGGGGTTGACTGCCGGAGGACTGGTGCGCCTTTTGCCATCTGTGGTGTCTGTCCTGTTACCAACAACATGCCGCTTACAATCTTTCTGTAAGCTAATTTTGCGCAGTCCAACCGGTGCGACCACCCAATGCGACCTACCTGTTAGGTAACCAGACGGTGAACAGGTTCAGTTAATCGTAGCATGAACTCCGTTCTCTTACTTTATTTTGGTCTGAAAACCTTGAATTGAACAGAATTTGACCCACACTCGTGCTCCACACCACGTGACCGCGCTATGTCACGCATACCGTTGCAACACTAGTTGCGGCATCCTATCACGCGACACTTTCTGCCGTATGAATGTGGCGTCTCCTCTTAACTCCACCTTCATGTGGAGCAAACCACGAAAGTTATTTTAGATCTATTCTGTTCTAAGACTCCCAAGGACCGCAAACTATTATGACGCTGTGCATATGATCAAATAGGGATGCATGGCTTGCGTGCATTATTACAATATAGTAGGAAGGGACTCGTTTTGCGATTTTTCGGCTTAAATACCTGCTCATTGGCGTCTTAAAGGCGTGCCTATGTATGGACAAATTATTCAGAAGCTTGTCATTTTGGTCTCATTGGCCGTCTTTATTCGTCTGTGTTTGAAATCTGGGCCATGAGCCCACTTTTACTCTGATTTCATGATTCTACAGATAGAGTCACAACCTGTCAGCAGTGATCAGAAATTTGTAAAGAACCGGTGCTCCAGGGAAAACTGAAGCTATGCTTATCAGAACAGGTTAATCGATGAAAAGACTAGTGGCTT